GGGGGGAAATGTCGGGAGTCGGGGTCGGGTCGATAGCGGAGTTGGGGAGAGGGGTGAATGGTAATCGAAGTCGTTTTTGAGTTCGATTTCGATTCAGAATCGAAGTTTCAAAGTCGCGGGGGAGGGGAGTCTTCGAGAGAATGAAGAAGAAAAGAAGAAGAAGACGAAAGAAGAAAAGAAAGAGAAAAATTTTTGAGCTTACCTGTCGGCGCGGCAAGGATCGCGGCAGTGGCACTTGATAACGTGGCAGGACGACGAGGACGAGGCGTGGATGCGATGTCGTGGCGTCGATGACGTGGCACAGCGGTCGGCGGCGTTGTCGATGATGTGGCACAATGGCGGCGACGAGGAGGAGCTTCTTGCTCCGATACCAGTGTAACGAGTGCGAGGTCGAGGGAGACAGGGAGAGCCGAGGGAGAGGAGAGAGARAGAGGGAGAGAGGGAGAGCACACACACACACTCACTCACTCGACACGACACGACCGAGAGTCGGACGCAGACACAGTGGCAAGGACACAAAGTCGAAGTCTTGGATTCCCCAATGTCGAAACATGAGCAAGTCGCACTGAGTACGAGTACAGCAGCTGAAAACTGGTACGAGGACTGGTCCCCGTACCGTACGGGGAGCCGGTATAAGTACCGGTGACACGTACGGTACTAGGGGCATTTCTGCTAAGGCCCCGAGGGCAGAACTGAAAAATACAGTACTTGAAAGTGGCGCCCGAATTGCAGCATGGCGCCAGTTGTCCAAAATCCTACGGTACCAAAGGAGGGGTTTGGAAAAAGGGTGCCAGGCCGAAAACGGGATGCAGCTGAAACAGCAAAAGATAGACCAGGGATCGAGCCCTGGCAGAGTCCGTAACAGTGCCTGCAATGCCAGCATTGGCCAAGATCCCTGCTCCCTCGCCCTGCTTGCCTATATGCCAATGCAGCGTGTGGGCGGCCTCCCTTCAGCCTGTGACCGGGACCCAGAGGCTGAAGCCAACTCGATAGTTGGGCCCCGGGGCAATGCAGTTGCGCCTCTTTCATCGAGGCCTGTGGCCAGATTCAGATAGTGGGCCGATTTTCCCTTTGGCATTTTCGGCCTCTCTACACAGCATGCATTGTCGGCCTCACGTTCGAGTGCCCAGGGCCTAACTAACTCAGAGGCCCTGGGCTTTCAGCATTTGCTGAATTCCGAGACTCGGTGCACTCCAACCAACTGGCGTGCTGCAACTGTATGAACCCCACTTCGTGAAATGTTGGCACAGAGGGCTCTTGTTGATTTGCTGGCCCGCCTTCACTTAGGGCGGGCACGAGGCTTGCTGGGGCCTTAGCCCAGAACATGTACATCATGGCAAGGCCCCTACTTGAGGGCTCAATCCTCACACAGACATATTCAGAAGAGAAAATGCCGGTGTTGTGAGTATGCCCGCGAGCATTCCGTAGCCGTAGAGAACTGTATTCTGTTTGGTTTGTGACACCGAGGAAGTAGGCGACTAACGATGGACCAGGATCACAGGGATGGATCAGGGCAATAAGGATGAAAGAAGGCAGCAATGAATAAAAACTTAAAAAATTAAAAACAATTAAAGAACTTTGCAGTGATTTCACCCTCGCACAAGGATGACTCACAAAATCCAGAAATGGTCCAAATTATTACATTGATGAAAACAAAAAAGCCAGAAAAAGAAAAAAGGGGACAGCACCATCTGAATCTGCAATTGTGTGCAGCGAGCAGGCGTAAATAATCCTGTTATGCTGTTGGATGAGATTGACAAGACGGGTGTGGATGCTCGTGGAGATCCTGCAGCAGCTCTGCTTGAAGTCCTTGATCCTGAGCAGAACCGAGCCTTCAATGATCAGTATGCTCCTCTTGCTCCTCCTCCCCCTCCTCCAGAATTTGTGCATCTGTTCTTCTTATTGGCAGTCCGATTGGCATTGTGTTTGCCTGTCTGTCTTTTGGTACAGTGCGCCCAAATGCCTTCTGTTCTTCAGTGTGTTTATTTGTTGTCCATAGTATCCCATCTTATGCATCACTTTGTAAGTCCATTCACCCGCTGTCTTTTGTCGCTTTGCTGGTTTATAAATTATCACTCTATGAGTACACTCACATAGAATCGCAAAACCGGCAGCCAGATCAAGTCCTCCTTTTAGAAGGACTCGATCTGACGGCTGATTTTGCAATTTTGTGATCATAAAGGCCTACTGTGAGGGCATACTCACACCACGCCCTCAAAATTGCAAAATCCCAAATGAGCAGCCGGATTTAGTCCTTCCTTTACAGGCACCCGATCTGGCCGCGCATTTTGTGAGTTTGCGAGTTTGAGGGCCTAGTGTGAGCATGCTCTGAGTGTGCCCTATGTCCGCTTTTTTGCGGCCAAACACACCACAAATCAAGTTTCGCTGCTGCTTGTTTTCGCTGCTTTTTTTCAGAAGTCTTTGTCTCCTTTACTCAAAGCCCAAGCTCTGACGTGTGTGGCACTGGTGCTGGCTTTCTCTTCTCTTGTTCTCCAGTACTGAAAGCCAAGGGAAAAACAAAACACTTAAACCACCAGTACATGGCCACAGCCAAGTTGAGAATCTGATTGAGCCTCTCCTAAAACTTCGGAGGCTTAGGACAGGGCGTCCGAAGGCCCAGTAGGAATGTCTCATGCCGTGGGGTGGCACTAGGCCCAGCCCTGAACCAAAAACAAATCCGCCCACCCCCAGGGGGGCCCTGTCCTGAGTCCCCTAACTTTTCGGAGAGGCTCATTCAAATTCTCTAGATGTACTGGCGGTTTAACTGTGTGTCGGTGAGTGAGCCTGCCTTCTTTTGCCGTGGGGATTCCTTGCATCACAATAAACGACCTTACCGAGCTACTGAAAAAAAATAAATGAGAAAAAGCCAATTAGCGAGTCAGTGGACATGATCTTCCAAGAGTGTCTGTGTACCTTTCTCTCTTTTCTTTGTTTTTCGTTTTTACTGTCCCGTACTGGATTGTGCTTGGGTTTGGAGCTCCAATTCTTCACAAGGGATTGTGTGCGCTTGTTTAGCCACTGGTTCACTACCAGCGCGAGGTACTTGAGGAGCCATTACATTGCACATGTCTGATTCTTCTGATGCACCTTGCTATTTTTCAATGCGCTTCTCCATTGACGGATGGTCTGGGGGTTAAATGACAATTGGCAATGTACCTGCTTGGCACTGAAGGGAGGAAACAACATTAGGACATCAGTTGCAGGCTCAGAACAGTTGGGGGAGGAAGACGATGACTACAGAAAAGAAGAAGAAGAAGAAGAAGAAGAAGAAGAGATAAGGAAGAAGGAGATTGTAGGAGATGCAGGAGGGGGTGGAAGACAAAATCATTCATTTGAAAGGCACCATTCTCCTTGAAGTTCTCCACTTCGCGCCTGATGTCTTGTCCTCGTTCTATCGCTCTGTTTTCTTGCTTGCCCATGCTCGTTTTTCTTCCGTATTCTTCTTCCTTCATATGCTGTATTGCTTTCCTGGACTCTCGCTCCTTCTTGGGGCTTCCGCTACTGGGATGTTCATCCCTTTGAAATCTCCTTCCTTTTCCCATGTTCCATTTACTCCTTTTCTCGAAGGTCAATTTACTCCCCCTCTCTCTTCTGTTTCCCTCCTCAATTGCATTTTCATCACCTCTTCTGTGCATTTGTCCATCATCCTCCTTTACTATCTCTTTGCAGCTATTTGGGCGTGCCATTCGACCTCTCCAAGGTAGTGTTTGTGGCAACCGCCAATCGCTCTTCGCCAATCCCACCTGCATTACGTGATCGCATGGAAATGATTGAGATTCCTGGGTACACACCTGAGGAGAAGCGAAGAATCGCTATGCAGCATCTGATACCACGATCCTTGGAACAACATGGCATAAGTCCGTGGCAGTTGCAAATACCCGAGGTAAACCCTGCCGTTCATTCGTCTTTACCTCCTTCAGTGCCCCGTGAAAGAAAGTGAAGAGTCTTTTGAACCTTTGCAACTCTCTGTCTTTTTGTGATTCTAGCTGTCACCCTTGTGCAGAGCTCGTGAATCAATGACATTCTGGAAATGCTGGGGATAAGTCCTTCGATACACCGGTCAAAATTGGAATGATACAGCAAAGAGTAGCATGGTTCCTGAGCAAGGATGACACGGAAGGAAAAAAAAAAAAAAAAAAAAAAAGGCAAGGAAGAAAAAAGGGGGGGAAGAAAAAAACATTGTTGGGGATATGTTTAACGATAATCACACTAGTATTCGCACCCCTCCCTCCTCCACTTCCTCCTCCCTACTCGCTATTACCTGTCTGGTCATGGCAACCTGCCTTCTACCCATAGAAAACAAGCTTGGGGACTTTGGCGCTGCAGTTCTTCATGCGCAATTGGGATGGTACGCCATCATGAGGGATTCAGGGCATTATTTTATTCAAAGACTTCAGTTTGAGTTGCAGAACTGCAGTGGCAGGTTGAAAAGAGGTTCTTGGGAGAGGTGTTCGCTTACCGTCTGCTGTAGGTCATCATGTTGGTCGGTGCTCCTCCTAGTGATGAAGTGCATGGATTGGACTGATTGAAGATATAGCGCAGATTGGACTGCCTTGGTGCTTTAACGGAGAAAGGACTGCAGATAATGAGCTGCAATCAGACTCGTTCTCAAACACACTTTTTATGCATGTAAACAGCAACGCAGTATACTGGCGACATGCGCCCACTCAAAACTCAGAGATATGGCTTTCAGATACGAGTTCACTCTCAATTGGCTATGGCGACTTCAGCGCCCAAACATCTCACTGTTCACATACACTGGATCACCCTGGATATCCCACACGCATCACTC